TATGATGGAAACCGCGAAAGGGAAGGAGTCAGGGTGAGGAGCACTGATACTGGACCGTTAAATTGGAATTTCCTTTGTTTATTAATTTTGACTGTTAGGATTTGTTTTGTTTTAAACCGACTACAATTTAGGTAGTGGTTTCACGCAGTTGGAATGAGTTGGGCTGTGGTAAAGAACACAGGGATCCCTTCCCGCTCCACCGGTCTTGTACCCATAGCGGACCGGGAGCAGTAGCTTAGGACCTTAAAATTACAAACAAACAAAATTAATTTTTTTGAAATTCAAGTTTTTGAATCTTCACCTTCCCTTTCCCGCTCGTCGCATTCGCCCAATAAATTGTGATCGAGTCGCTGTCATTTTCATCATGCCACCTGTCCGAAAAAAGCTCCCCAACGCAATGTCGGACAACTCGAGAGTCCGCCCGAGGGCTCTCGCAAAACTACCTGGCCTTGCCCAGTCTTCGAAATTCGCGGAGATTGATCAGGCCGTTTCAAAATGGAAGGAAAAAGCTCTTCCTACCGCCACCAAGCCCGATACTGACATGATCGGGTCAATTGAAACTCTTAATAAAATTCCTCAACGAGCCTACATCCCCCACAGGATTGGAGAATCGTCTACATCTCCTCCGGACGCATTAAAACCGTCGGAGAACGCTGCACCAAAACCAGCGTCAAAACCAGCGTCGCAGCCAAAAGCTGACACGAAAGCAGATAGCCCTCCAGATCTTCGACCGATTGTCGAAGCCGAACAACGACGCGCCGCCGCATCAGCGGCAAATCTGGCTCTCTGCTCCGCCGCCATCTCTGGCGTCGAAGCCACCCTTCTCTTTCACGGATCCATAATTAGAATTTTAATGCTAATTTTAATTCGTGATAAGATGAAGGGGTAGTTAATTAAAGACATCAATTTAATAATAGCTTCCCCTATACAATTAGTCGTGTAAAAAGTCATGTAAGGATATGCAAGAGAGTCATGAAGAGAAGGACAAGAACACAGCCATTAATGCGAAGATATTGGCAAGAACTGATTACGATTAATTCCGGTTGGCAAAGGCTTCTACTCTTGTATATAATAGTTCGGCGTGAGAGAGATTTACTCCTCACGCAACGTCTTCTTTATTTACCCTTTACAATACATTTGTTCATCCATCTCTTTTTCAGGAAGACCATATATCCATTGCCCAGTTCTTCATCAGCAAGACCCACGTGTAACACCTACTGCAACTAGTTGCCCATTCATCTCTTCCTAGAGAAGACCTGTCATTCCTTTGACCCATTTACAACCTTCACTTACCACCTAGATCTTTACTAGGCTATACAACGCACCCCGTGGAACACCGTCAAACCCTCATCCCTGAGATTCTCCCTTTGACCAACGGGTCAAACAGAAAATTCGTAGACCCGATGAGAGTCTACTCAAGCGCCGCTATTGCGCAATACATGGCCTCGGGCCCGGCATCTACGCCACCTGTACTCCCTAATCGCCCGGCGAACCTCCATCCGAGAGCTCCCGACACCAGGAGCCCAATCATACCTGCCGTCCCAGCGCTGCCTGTTAAAAGCACCTGGGCTGTTATGGCTCAGCAGGCTTACTAAGGCTTACAGCGGTGATCGGCATACGCGATACCTTTTTTTTATTTTTATTTATTTTTTATTTTTTAAATCATTGAGTGTATGCAGCCTAACTAGCTATGACACTCGCGATACCATTATAGGCTAGGGTTAGGAAATAGTTAATGATCATCTGGGTATTTGAGAAGCTGGGTACGCGTTGTAATAATTCCCCAGCTTCGCAATTTGTATTATTCGCACATTATTCTAGTTTTCAGAATTCAACTCGTTAGCTATACACTTGTTTCTCTTGTCTCCTCCTCGTCTCTCCTCCTCGTCTCGCCTCCGTATCCCATCCATACCTCCCTTCGACTTCCCTTCGGAGACGGCGTTCGTCTACTCGGACGTTCGCCGTAACATGGGCCACGGTAGCTATTATGATATCATAATATATGTTGAATTAGTAGATGATGTAATGAGAATTCCTCATTGTGTTGCTCTTAGTTCGCTGTGTAACAATTAAGTTGGAAGTGCCAACTATTAACTGGGAAGTGGTATGCGCTAGGTGGAGATAAGACAAATCTCAACAATTCCAGTTTGGAATGCGCATATTAAGTTGGAAGGATATGAAAGAAACTGGGCCTAAATGTTATGTACATATAGACCTGCTTATATAGGAGAAAATAAAAACCATCCGAATTCTACAATAGTAGCTAAAAACAGACTGCGACAAACAGTAGTCCCTACAACAAAGACTGTACCGCAAACTGCGGCCAAGACCACAAAGAAAAACGCTCCAAAGGCGAAAGTCGACAAACGACTGTTCCTTCGCCTGGAAAAGGAGAACCCTTGGCGCCAACTTTCGACTCTCGGAATAAGGCCATAACTACAGATCAGGCTGGAGGACACCTTGAGTGATGCCTGCTCTATACACCGTGTCAGAGCCGGTTTTGCTATTCTGACAGGTAATGAGGAAAGAAGGGAAGAGCTCCTAGAGGCTATACCGAAGTTGGCGGAATTCAACGCCAAGTTCGAGGAAGCCTCCAACCTTGTCGCCTTCCGGATCGCGAATATTCCAGTGACCACGAGAACGGTCGGCGGTATCTATTCGATCGATGCGGAAAGAATCATATATGAGATACTATTATGAATATACTTATTTGCAGATTTTCGAAGCTGTTAAGCTGCAGAGGTCGAGTCGATTTCGACGAAGACAAATTATCGAAGGTTCGAGGTTACAAAGTTACGAAGGTCGAAGGTGCAAATGTCAAATGTGCGAAGGTATGAATGAAGGTAATCGAGGCTCGGATTATCAAAGTTACGAATTCATGTGTTCAGATTATCATATTATCAAAATATCGAGTTCCCAATAAGCAAATTATACAATAAACAAAAAAGAAACAAAACTGTTAGAACTAAAGAACAAATTCAAATTTCCAGCCTGAACAAATCCAAATCCTGTTGCCTCAGACCTAACCGAATTAAGAAGATAACCCCTGCATCACCACATCCAGATTAAATCTAACAAATTCATAACAGATATACAGGAAAACGCAGCAGTTTCCAACCCAGGTGCTACCGCACGGGACATGCCGTCCTGGAGCGCCGTACAGAAATTGGAAAGCCCTGATCGCCCGGGACTCCGCCCCTCGCGCGGGCTTCCGTATTCTCGGCGAGTCTAGAGGGGCGACCATTCTAAAGCCTTGTCGAAAAATTGAACAGTGCAAACGCTGTTTGGGCTTCCACGTCATCCGTGGTTGCTCCCGTGCTCCAGCCTGCTGGAATTGCGGATCAAATATGCACTCGGAAGACGAGTGCAAGGCCCTCACCAAGTGTCGCAACTGTGGGGGACCTCACCGATCAGATTCGCGGGTCTGCCTAGCCAGACCCAACAAGACAGGACCGGTGTCAAAAGAGCAGCTCGAGCGGATCCGTCACATCCAGCAAGGGGAGTTCGTGAAGGTGGCACGAGCTCGTGCAGCAGCTCAAAAAGCCGAAGAGGCGATCATCACCGCGTCGAAAGATGTCTCGATGGCCGAGGCAACAGGTTTCGGAGTGTTGGAATCTGAAAAAGAAGCTTGAGGAGACAGCAACCTCGACGATGTCCCGGAAGGGACTTCTACTAACCAATAGCAGGATACCGGCTGGACCAAAGGTGCCTGCTAACCCATCTTTTGCTCTCAGCGGAGAATGTGTAAATTTGATATTTGGAAGATATGACGGACGACGGAATGTGTGAAGAGCGCATTGCTTGGGTCCAACATGGAGGAATCTTCTGTTATTCGGAGTTGCTTTAATTTTTGTGATTTTTCGTTTTTGTTTAATCGGCTGCACCTTTGGCAGCGATTCACAAGGTTGGAACGAGCTAGGCTGTAGGAAAAGTTACAGGGAACCCTGCCGGCTCCACCGGTCTTTTACCCGTGGTGGATAAAGAGCTCTAGCTTAGAACCTATTCGTAATAAAAAAACCCCAAAAAACAGCTGTCTGCCACTCTGTTTTCCAATTTAAATGTAGCAAATTTCCCTCAACCAGGAATTTTACGTGTGATTTACAAGTAGTTTAAGCTTACGCGCGTAGGCTGTACAATGAACTAAGATAACGCTACGAAGGAAGAGATTGTGAGTCCTTCCATCCAACAATAGTTTACCACAAGATACCTTTTTTCACAGGGGGAATCTAGTGGGCTTGTTGAACTCCATCGTAGAACTTCGTCTGCTCGACCCACTTTCCGACGGCAAGTGCGGCCTCGGGCGTGCCGAGTATCCATCTGGTGCCAGGGTGGGGATGTCGAGGCGTGGGTATGCATGCGCACTTAATCTCTACACCTCATGCTCGATGGTAACACGTACTGCTGTCTCAGGCTGCACTATTTAGGCCTCGACACATTGGATTCAACTAGATTCATGGATGAGCGAGAGGGTACACGTGGAGGATGGTGGAGTGGTGAAGCTTTGACTGAGTCGCCGACGGCTCGTTGGATGTATAGAGCGCTCATCCTGAAATAGCAAGAAGCTGAATCGTGACATGCTTAGCATGAGGTGTGAACGAACCAGGTGCATCTCATTAGCAATTAATTCCGTATTGCCCCTGTTTCATAAAGGGAGCTTGCCATCGACTCATACTCTCGTCACCCTAAGGAACTCTCATTTGCCAGACCGTTTCTCTCCAGACTATACGCTGCCCACTCAGGATATGATGACTTTGCAGAATACCACCGCCGTCTCAATCACGAGGGTACTAACCTTCATTGTGGCTGCTGACAGTTCAAAATCCCATTGCACTTCCTAGAGTGCCACTTAACCATCCACAGACCACATCGAGCTCCAGTATCTTTAAGGGTACCAAAGAAATTTTTCCTAGGAACCTGGGAGGGGGTCCTAGGTATAGCAAAGTGGCTTTCTCTTTCTAAATTGTACATAAAGACCTGCCCTAGAAATCCAAGAGAAGAAATCAATAGGTCTTAAACTCTGCTTCAACTTTGAGCCTTGCATTATGGATGGATGGTGCGGTATTTCTGAATGGATCATTAGTAGCATCCCGAGCGTGGCTGTAATACATCAAAGGAGTAATGAGCCTTGGGACTGGCTGTAAAAGTGCAGGTGCTACGCTACACGCAATCATGTAATTAGAGAATTGCACTGCAAACCTAGTTAGGAAGTAGCAAGAGCGAAGCTACCAGGGCAGTAAACACTGGCGTCCCTGCCTCTAGTTGGTTTAGTGGGTGGAAGGGACCTAAGTCAAGCTTGGCGCCCCCACGGACGAAAAATGGAAAACAAATAATTAATTCCGCATTGACTTCATGACCATCTATACCCTCGTGGGGCAGTGCTAGTCCGTCGATCGGGCCGCAAAGGCAGGTCGAGATAATGAGAAACACGAAAGTCGGTAAACGACCTCACGAATTTGTATACTCTTTATCGCTTCTGACTACTCGACTGAATCATTGCCATTTTCTCTGTCTCATTGATCAATTCTGCTTTGGCCGACGTGCCAACGCGGCTGCATCCTATGAATACAAGACTGATTAATCCATACAGTCCTGGGAATCGCGACAGTATTTCACTATCCCAAACTCACTTGAGACTTTAGTTAAAATCTAATTTAATCTGGGAACGGCGGTTGGACGAGAAAAGCAGCTGCCTCACAGGCAGTGGTAATAAGCAAGCAGGCGGCCCTATGATACGTTGCTATCCCGAAAACTGGAGCTTTCAGGTCCTCATTCGTCTTTGTCATTTCCTTTTTATGATGTGGACACTCAAGCACGAGATTAAGGATTTCCCAATCACTCAAATTTACACTTGTCTATATTCAGTGCAAAGAGATTGACGACACGTTGCAATCTCATGCTATTCCAATTTTAATTAAGATTAATGCTCAAGTGGCCATGGGAATTGTTAGTAATTGACCACCTAACAAATAAATCTATTGTTCTCTCATCTCCGACTCTCCTCAAAAATAAGGCCAACTCCCTTGATACCAAGCAGTTCTCGCCTCAGTCGTTCGAACCAGTGCCAGTACTTAACCGTCGTCCTTGGTGGACCTAATAGAACCAAGCAGCGTCTGATGGTGTCGATTCCTTCGCTCGAATGGCAATCCTTTTTCATTTGAATGAGCTGGGTCATCATGTTTTCTTTTAGTAGATGTCATGTACGTAGAAGTCTATTATACTCATGCTCTCGAATTTTGGGATTCCATAAGTATGGCTTTCCCATCCTCCTCATTCAAACATTGCACTACCCAATAAGCTACACCATTCAAGTTGAATCCATCTTCATCTATCTACAATCTTCGTGTCGTTATTCAGCCGTCCAAAGCAGAGATATTGTGGCCATACACTTCTGAACCAGAATAATACCTAAGTCGAGAAAGTTTTCACAATGAAGCTCCTCCGTTCAGCCTTAGTTGTCTCGCTCTCGATGCTTTCAGTCTCAGCCATCAACATCACTGGTGTATTTTGGTGCGATAATCTAGAAGGTGACGTGAAAGCGGAAAAAGTGGTAGAGAAAGTCAACAGTATTGCCAGTGGCACAAAGCAAAATAATTGGTACCAGGTCGTAGAGAATGGCGTTAAATTACAATATTACCAGCTCCATGAGCGAGGTGATCCTAAAGGTCTGTTGCTTTTGTCACAAACACAATTAGAAGCTCCCAAATCTAATGTAGATCAGGCTCTATAGATATTTTCATTGCGGTGAATGAAGACAAAAGCTTTGTTAAAGTTACTTTCTATTCTTATGGTGTAATGGATGATTGCTGGCATATTCCGGCATGAGACACAAAAAACCCATGGGGCATGGCTTCAAAAGAGAGTGTCTCGAGTTGGGAGGAAATATAAGCGGGGTGAGAGATAGATATTTATACCTCATTTAATAGGGATTAAAGATAAATAATGAAAGGTTTACAAAAATTATCTCCATCTATCTAGCATATGTACCAGAGCAAACTATCTCATTGAGAGCCAGAGATAAATTTGTCATAATTTCTTGAATCTGACTTGGTGTCCTATGGGCTTTTCCAAGTGTCCATTAACTTAAAGGATTAGCTTGGAGGGAACTTGTAGGTAGAAATACCCAATCCTTTGTGTTCGATGTCTTTGGTTTAACTTGCTGAACTTTAGGAAGCGTAGTTACATTATAGATCCATTCACAAACACTGTTCTCATCTTGCTAGTTACTTCCAATGATTCCTAGCATAGCCCTTTTCATCCAGCTATATTTCGACTGCCCTTGCCATTAAGAATGATATTGGAAGTATTGCTTAGTCATCTTGTAGTCTTGTAGCATGAGTGAAGTCTTTTTATACCTCCATACCTATCACATGCACATCATTCTGTGTGAATTCGTCCATAGATGCATTCTCTTTATGCCATATCTTGCCCGTCCTATTGTGAAGGGACTTTACATTTGTTAATCACAATCATGGGTCCAAAAATGAATTTATACTTTATCCAAAGAGGAGAATATCTGTGATGCGCGCACCACATGTTTTGTTCCCATCAAGCGCGTTTTCCTGTGACACCAGCGCGCTTTTGTTCATAGCCGGAGCCGGATAGTTCCGGATCCACATAAAAGGCTACAGCCTGTAACACCTTTATTCTCACCATCGCAGTTCTTCTTTGTCTAAAATCCTAGTAGCAGGCCAAGTTGTTGATTTACTCATGACTCAAATCAAGTACTTTGTCCCATTTTGGCATCACTTGAATGTGATATGATGTTTTTGTGGTACCACTTGAGTCATAGACTGTCTAGTACTGTTTAGATCCATACTGTGGTGCCACGGCATCAAGTTTGCAGTTGGGCTTTAGCAGGGTTTTTAGCATGAAAACTAAGACTCCTTAGGAATAGTCAACTTCCATATTGGGGTTAGCTCCTGTATTTGTGCAAGTTTTCCAAAAAATTTGTAAGGCAGTTTTTTTCTGGTGTAATGGCTTGTGAGCTGATTATTAAGTGGCACGTGATTGTATTCACGTGCTTCTATAATTCTACAGTAGTGTGAAAGGTTTAAAGAATTCAAAAGTACTTGAAAGACGTTAACTCAATAGGAATTGATAATTTTTCCTTAGGAAGCTAATCTGCCTACGACGGCTCCTGTCCTTTATGTCCTCCTCAGCGTTGCATTTAAGCTCCCCTCCTAGCCTACCTGAGAATACTCCATTCTCCCCGGCTACCCTCTTTCCTGTGACATCCTCCCCCCTCAGTACGTACTCCCTTGGGTCCTTCCTCATGCGCAACCTTGCAATTATCCTTATGCAACACTGAGACTCGTGCTTGTGCGCAACCTTGCATTAACCCTTATGCGACATTTAGGTCTTTCCTTATGCGCAACCTTGCATTCTTCCCTATGCAACCTTTTGCATATCTGTAAGCGCTACTTTGTTGACGCTTAAATATCTAGCCGGAGTGGTCCTAGTGACCAGTCCCAATCCGGGCACAGCCCGTCACAAGTAGTCTAGTTTATTCCAGATCAGCTCAGCTGTAACTAGAATATTCTAGTAATTGGTAGCAAGACTGGGAACTACTATGACTGGAATATACAAGAAGCAGATATCAGCCAAGAACGAGTGTTCTAGAGGTCTTCATAAATGTATAAATAGTTGAAGTAATACTCTGATAGTTAGCCATAGAGAAAATTATATATTATCTTCGTATATCTGATTGCTCCTGCATTGTGTTGTGGTTATGAGCTATGCGGAAGTCACGTTGCAGAGTGTCACAGTAGTAAGATGGTAGTTGGCGTCGTTTAAGGTTAAGCGATAACTGAGCCTCTATAGGCCTTCGTGTAGCTAGATAGTCTTTCCTCTTCTCATCGCACAACTCAAATATTATACTTTACCACGCACTTTGTAAACCTGCCCTGTGACATTTTGTGCGATCTTTTTATTAACACCCAGTCGCAAATACCAGCCTGAAAATTTTCGCTTTAATCGTTACACAGCGAATTTATATATCCAGCAACCCACCTGATTCGCGACCCGGTGAATAGATTTAAGCAAGTTCCTTTCAGCACAACCCTGATAAGTCCTTTAAATCCATTCTCAGACCAGAAAATTTATAAGTTCATTTTTTGCTTTTTGCCTCTTATTTTATAAAAAATCCAGCCGCAGATCTCCAGAATGACTACTACAAACAATGAACTCGGACAGAGAATCAGTGAATCTTTTACTTCCTGCTTCCCAAATCTATCTGGAGTTCTCTCTGAATACGACTTTACTCACACTCTTGTGAATAGGCCCTTTTCTCCCTCAAAATTAGCGGAAATTTTGAACGTACTCCCGAATCCTAATGTCACGGTTTCAGTACAACATGCTTGGGCGATCTTGTAGGTACAGTATTTTAATTATAATTCTCTAGAGAGAGAATTCCTATAGCTAGAATACAAATATATATACACTCTGAGATACTCCTCTTCTGTAAGGTTCTCCCTATATCTGGAATAACATGGAATCCTCGACAATACCCTAGAAGATTCTTGATACACCTGTTGTCCTCATGAACCTTCAGTATGCTTCCAGAAAGTTCATTGAGAATCTTCTAAGCTCCTTGTATTCCGAGATCCTTCCCGAAGATTCCCTTGCATTCATTGCCTGCGCTAGCCAGCGTAGGCTACAGGAATCCCTAGGCTTAACAGCCGTTACACCTAATCTGGATGAAAATGCAAAGGCCATTTTCGCCATGCTCCTTGCATTCGAACATGGATTTGAGAAGCTTAGCCTCAAAGCAAGTGATAATGAGATGGCGTACAATGAAGAGCGTTCGCGGAATGCAAAGGCACGCAATGCTCGTTTAGCTGCAGAAAACGAAAAAGATGTTCTTCGCGCTCAACTCGAAGCAGACAGAGCTACACTCACAAGTACACGTGTCGAGTTATCAGATTCACTGGGAAAAAAACTTGCTGCAGAAACCCAGCTCCAATTTGCCTTGATTCAAAATGCCCAGAACCACGCAATAGGAGAAGGCATAAATGCTAAAGTTCCAACTGCTCGTAGAACTCAAAAAGACCCAGACAAGTTCACAGCATCGAACAACGAGATGAACCCTGTCCAGCGCCAGGAAAAATACGAGACATTCAAGACACAAGTGCAAGGAATAATTTCTGTTGACTCTGCATGTTTCCCCACAGAGGCATCTAAGATTTTATATATATGTGGCTTAATGGATGGCCATGCTTGGGATGCAGTTTGTGACGGTCATAAGTCTATCACTGCTAGTTTGAGTGACTCCTCGCAATGGCAATGGCAGAATGAGGATGCGCTTTGGACTGACCTCGATGGTCGATATATTCTTTTTAATTCGGCAACACTTGCAAGGAATACATTGGACAGTTATTTTCAAGACAGCCCGAGAAATGGTACTCGACCATACGGTGAATGGAAAGCCGAATTTATCAGACTTTCTACCCGTGCCAAACTAGGTCCTCGGGAAAAAGTTGACAGATGGCGACGATTCATTGGTGCCAACATCAAGAGGATACTCCGGTCTCAGGTAGACAATCCAAGCGATGAAGATTTTGACAAATGGGTAATAAGATGCGACAACATCGCGCGAAATCAGCTCCAAGAGTCTCACTATGATTCTCTCAATCACTCTCGCGGTTTAAATACGAAAGAAAAGTCCAATGAACCTGCCGAATTCACATCAGATATTTCAAATGCTGCTTTCGGTTCCAATCCCCACGATGACCCTATGGATATTAGCCGATTGCAGATTTCTGATAATGAAAGACAGCGCCGGCGCAGCCAAGGTCTTTGTCTAGCCTGTGGTCAGAGTGGCCATATTGCCCGAGACCACCATCGAAAGTTTAACCCGATTCCGATGCCGAAACGTGCCAATTATACATTAGTTCACAACAGGAAAAATCTTCAAGACACGGAGAATCGCTCAAACTCTCGACCTCAGAGCAGTAATTCACGTGTCCCTTTTGTAAATCATCAGTTTTTACCGTCGCATACACAGATGCCCATGTCATACTATCCCCCCATATACCCACAACTAATGCCGCAGCAACTCTCTCAGCAACCAGCGCAATCTCGTTTGCGTGCCATAGTAGAAAATCCTGGATATGTATCTGATACTAGTTCTGACCATGAAACCCCTGTTGGAGGCCGAAAAACATCTGGAAAACCAGATCAGTTAAAAGGCAAACCTCTGATCTAAGTCGCGATCAGAGGTACGATTGGTATGGTGAAGAGGATGAATCAATCCGAGCAGTGTTGTTAGATAACTCACCTTTAGAACTATGCTCTACTAGCTCTAAAAATTCAATGCTGCTTGAAACTCAACTCTCAGACCCGCGCACTAGTGACTCTTCAATGTTCCACACATCCAGTTTAATTGACAGCGGCTGCACAGCCTTTGCATTTGCAGATGCTGAGTTAGTCGTAAAGCGCTTCAAGATCTCAACCAAGAAACTTGTCAACCCCCGCTGCGTTCGCCTAGCTGATGGGAGTACCCAGGCTACTGTTACCGATTATTTCACTATTTGCTTGCACTTAGGCCTGCACTCAGAAATAATTGTGCTCTATGTAACAAGTCTGGGTGCGTGCAATCCGATAATCTTAGGTATGCCATGGCTTCAGCTTCACAATCCCCTTTGTGATTGGAATGCTATGACAGTAAATTTTGGCTCACAATTCTGTCAACGTCAATGTCTCCCATGGGCAATCTCACCACCCGGATTTGGCCAGCTCCCAAACCCCCCTGGACTACTTGAAGCCCCGCTAAAAATCCAGACTGTCCCCTCTCCAATTGCACCAAGATTATACCAAGCCACTGT